TTTCACCCAAACACTTCAGCTTCTGTTTATGCTCTCTGAAGGAGCAGAATCAGTTTTGAGAATCAGATCCAAACACCCCCTACATACATACACATTGTGTGATTCTCCTAAATAAAAATAAATCATATTTATCTATATATTTATTGATGGAGTATATGGCCCAGGAACCCCCGGCCCATAGACTCCTACTTCTCCTACACAAGTCCGTTGAGCCCAGAGAACAACTCAGGCCCAAATGCAGCGGCCCAAGCCTCAAAATAGCCCCGAATACTCACTGGGGGTGCCTTCGGCCTTTTTGGCCGAAGGCTCTAGAACTCACAGGATAGCCTTTTTTGGCATAAGAGGCTGCTGGGGGAAAAACGGGCGAAAACACAAGCCTTCGGCATTGTTACGCCCTCGGCAACAGGGGGCCTTCGGCCACACAATGGTCCTTGGCTACACAAAGAGCCCTCGGCTGCACAAGGGGCCCTCGGCTGCACAAGGAGCCCTCGGCTGAACAGGCTCAATCATCGAAGATTCCTTTTAGAGACAGCCAACCACCGCATTTAATGCCACGTCACATCCGCCAACCGCATTCAATGCGGTTGACGTACCACTGCCGGTGCCACCAGGCTGATGTGACCCTTCGGCCGTTGGATTGCTGACACGTGTACTCTCATCGCATTTATTGCTGCTATAAATAGCAGCCTATTTCCCCTTGTAAAACACAACCAACATCCCAACTCCACACGCTGAGTTCATTTAATAAATCGACTCTCTCTCCTCCTATTTTGCTCTGACTTCTCTCTAGTTATTCCCGCAATAACCCCTCGGATAAGATACCCCCCGGGTAGACTATCCATCATTTGGTGCTCTCGTTGAGAGGTCTGAACTATCAAGTAAGAAACCCTCCCCCTCTACCAAACACAAGCCCTCACCAAAAATGGGAAGGACCACCCGTGCCCAATCCAAGACCCTCGAGGAAAACTACGTAGCCCCCGGCGAAACTAACGGGTTTGAGGCCTCCAACAGGCTCTTAGTACCCGAGGGTGGTGTCATCCTCGAACTAGAGCAAGCCACCGCTGACCTACGTCAGCAGCTGCAGAAGAACACCCCCGATGCCCGCATTGGCCTTGATAATCGAAGGAGGGATCGGAGTGAGAACCAAGTTCCTCCTCCGGCCTCGGCCATCGATCTTCAGGCTGCCTTTGCGGCCTTTGTTCAAAACATGGCTCTCAATTCCGGAGCCCTCGCCTCCCAGGCACCCCTCCAGCCCTACGCTGGAGGAAATGTTATTCAGTTGCCACCACTCCCTCCTCTGTTCACCAATCCTCCCCCGGGGATTGGAAACGCCGAAGGGGTCATGGCACAGGATACCGCCTCCCAAGAGGCCCAATCTAGGGATAAACGTCCCTTGATGAAGGAGAAACCCCGGACCTCTGCACTTGAGAGGCTTGGGGGAGCTCCCGTACGCCGAGGGGTCCAAGACCGCCTCGGCAAACAGGAATTCAGCAGGCCTCAGGAGAGCGGAGCCTCCGCTTCGGGAGCCGAGGGCATACCTCCGCCCCGAAGCAAGGGCAAAGCAATCCTCCATGCCGATGACGCCAGACACCAGATCAATCAAGCGCAGTCCTTCCGGGCCAACTCCCAAGGGGTTGCTCCGAAGGACCCCAAGGACGAAATCATTGAAGCCCTCCTCCGTCAACTCGAGGAGAATCGCCAGGCACCCCCGACGGCTTCCACAGCGAGGCCAGATCCGGAGTACGCTGACCTCCGGGCACAGGTGGAGGAAATGAAACGTACACTGGCCGAAGGCTCCGGCGAGCCCCTCATTCAGCTCCGCACTAGGACGCCTTTCACCCCAAGGGTGTTGGCGGCCAAAATCCCCCACAAATATCGGGGGCAACCCATCAAGCCGTATGAGGGGAAGACGGATCCCCAAGAACACTATAGCCGTTATCAAAACAGCATGATGATGATGGGGGCATCGGATGAATACTTATGCCGTTGGTTCCTTTCCACCTTGGAGGGACCCGCGTATGAGTGGTTCAACCGCTTGCCCGAAGGCAGCATTGATTCTTGGCAAGAACTCGCCCACCGCTTCCTTACGCAGTTTGCCGGGAGGCACCGCTCAAAGAAACACTTCTCCCACCTTCTGAATGTGAGACAACAGAAGGAGGAAACCCTTCGGAGTTTCCTAGAGCGATGGAGGCAAGCCTCCCTCGAGGTTGAGGGCGCCGATGACAGGACCCTGATGGCCCTCTTCCACACCGTCCTCCGCAACGGTAACTTCTCCAGGAGTCTTATCACTGATCCCCCCCGCGATTATACAAAGGCCCTCCAGTGGGGGGACCGATATGCCGAAGCGGAGGAGATCGAGAAGGACCGCCGCAACACGGATCCTTCCCAGAAGAATGAAGGCAGGAATCGGCCCGGAGGACCTCCTCCTCCGGCCAACCGCGAGGCTCAGTATAATGATCGTCCCCGAGGTGGCCAAGCCAGAACCGGGGGCGGTTACAAAAACAATCCGAAGGCATGGGCACAACCCGTCCTCCTGGAGCACCCACGCACTCCCTTGACGCACCCCGTCAGCGTCATTCTTGACCATGCGGAAGAGCGGGGGCTCGTTGAGCGAGACTCCCGCACACCCCTCGAGATCTATGCCATCGGCCCTGATGAGCCGTATTGCCGCTTCCACCGCCACCATGGACACAAAACCGACGACTGCCACCAACTGAAGAACGCCATCGAGAGGCTGATACAGGCGGGCCACTTATCTCAGTTCATCAGGGGCCCTCCTCCCCAGGGCCCCCCTCATCATCAAGGGCCTCCGCCGAAGGCTAACAAATGGGTGAACCCCAACACCATCCCCTTGGGAAACCCACAGGGGAAGAAGCGAGAAATTGGGGGCCTCGACGACGAGGGAGAGGGCTCCCATCAACAATACAAGCGCCATATTCATATGATCAACGGCGGCAACACCGGAGGCGATTCAACGAGCCAAAGGAAGAAGTGGGCACAGTCCCTCTACATTGGGGAGGTCAATCACATGCCCCCTGCTAAAAGGCCGAGGGCGGATCCCATCTTCTTCACAGATGCGGACCTCCCCTCGGGCTCCCTGCCGCACAGGGATGCCCTCGTCATCCGCACTGAGATCAATAACGCCATCATCCACCGGACTTACGTTGACACAGGGAGTTCTGTCAACGTCATGTATCTCAGCACTTTTCAAGAGTTGGGGCTTGACAGGGGGTCCCTCCGACACATCAACACCCCCCTCTCCGGATTTACGGGGGACAGCATAGACGCCAAGGGCGTCATCACCCTCGTGGTTGAGTTCGGCGACGGATCCCATAGAGCCAAGCTCGAAGTGGAATTCGTCGTCGTCAACCTCGACTGCGCACACAACATCATCCTCGGCCGTCCCGCCCTCGAGGATTTGGAAGCCGTCATCTCTATGAGGCACCTCTGCCTCAAGTTCCCCACACCCACCGGCATCGGCTACTCGAGGGGGAATCAAAAACTCTCCAGGGCCTGCTACCTTCAACTTACCAAGAAGGTTAGTAAAACAGAACTACGTGTGGACACCATCACCGCCAGGGCTTTGGAGGAAGAAGAAGGCAGGCCGAGAGCTGAGCCTGCCGAGGAGACCGAAGACTTGATACTCGATCCGGCCAAGCCGGAGAGAGTCCTGAAGATTGGAGCCAAGCTCCCCGAAAACTTGAAGGCTGGCATCACCAAAGCCCTCCGCGCCTACTCCATTGTTTTTGCATGGGGGCCGGAGGATATGCCGGGAATTGACCGAAGGGTCATCACCCACCGCCTAGCGGTGGACCCTTCGGCCAAACCAGTACAACAGCGGAGAAGACCCCTCTCGGCCGAGAGAAGGTGTAACACCGGACCCGAATTTTACCCAGATAAAAATTTTTCGTAAAGTACTGGGTTAAAGAAGGTAAATCAAGACTAAGAGTAGTCTTGATAAATGAGAAAGTAAAATTTTGTCTTAAATTAATAAAAGGTTATTAATTTAGACGTGGAACCACTCGTGATGATATTCTAAGTTTATTTATAAAATATTAATGTTTACCAAAATGATACTATTATGATAGTAGGGATGGGTCATGGACCCTAATGATATAAAGAACGACAACTAGACGGTCAAGCGGGCCGAGGTCACTATCCGATAATTGTGAATCATTAACTATCGGACTGATAATAATTCGGAAGGCTACGAATTAATAACAGAAGGAATATAAATATTTTAAGAACCCAAAATAATGAGATGATTAATATTGATTAATATGGTATATTAAGGAGGGTACTTTTGGATGACCCTACCTTGAAGATATTTGTATAAGGACAAACAGATAAGATTTTATCTGTTCATACATATCAGACCACTTAAAAAAGAAGTGTAACATTTTATTAAAGTGTCACAAAATATGAAACAACATATTTAGTCATGAGAAATGATGAATGAATTTTCGAGGAAACACGTTCTCATTTTTACTGTTACTTGAACAGTAAAATGCACGTTGGGCCCACACATGGGCGGAGACCATCCGATATTTACGGACCACATATTATGTTCATCTTGGTCTAGGTAATATTTATATGAGGGTGTAAATAAATTTTAAGCCATAAAGTCGGCCTTTCGATCAAACGAGATCCCATTACTGGTATAGGTAATTAAACAGATAACAGCCGAAATTAATTTCAGCGACCACGAAATTACAGTGGGATAATATATATTCATTCTAGAGGCCAATATTAATTGGAAGAATGATATATATTTTATTTGACAAGATAAAATGAAATTTAATTAAAACAGTCCGAAAAATACAACTTTCGGGGCCGAATGTACACCTCGGGACATATTGGGATGACCTCCCACATGAGTGGGGGCCACCCCACGACTTTTTGCATCCAATTGAGATGGTGTGGGCTTCATACATTGAATCAAGTTGAGAGTTGGGTGAGAAGGGACATAAGGTGGGCTCTCCCTCTCACCATTATCACACCTTTGAGACAAAATATCCCCTCAACCATCACCCTCCCACATTATTTCGACCAAGACACCAAAATAAGTGAGAAGAGGTCTGCAACTTCTCATCTCCATGTCCAAAAACCGAGCTCAAGGTTGAAGGAGGCTCAAGGAAGAAGAAAAGCTTGGAAAAGAAGAGAAAAACTTAGAAAAATCAAGGTAATGACTTCATTAGTATTTTTCTCCTTCATTTTAATCTCATATGATTTTGTAAATCATATGATGGACCCTTAAGTTCGTTCTACACTTCTAGAGGTGTAGCATGCGGGGTTGGAAGGTTAGTTTTGACCATGAACGGAGTTATGACCGGAGTAAGACCGGTTCACCGGAAAATAACCTTTTAGAGGTTATTTGTGTTGATATAGATTTTGTGATGTTAAAACCTTGTTAGGAACTTGTCAAAGGTGTTCCTATAGCTTCCACGGAGTTGGAAGAGTCGCCGGAGTTTTCGCCGGAAAATTCAAAGGTCGCCGGAGTTCAAACAAAGAGGATAAAAGCTTGTTAGCATCATTTCAAGGTGAGTGGACGACTACGTGTCTTGTAACTCTTGGTTCAAACGTGAGATTACCTAAATAAAATCATAACCATGATTTGAGGAATGATTAAATGTATTAAAATGCATGATTAGTCATGGTGAACATGATTAATGAAAAATAGATTAATTTATTAATTAATCATGAGTATATTTTTCTTAAATGAATAAGAAGGTATACTTGGACTATGTATGAGACTAACTAGAGTAATCTAGTGAATGAATACATGAAAATATATGTGAACTTGTGATTATCCATATTAAATATGGATTATGGAAGTATTATATGATTAATGAAAATTAGATTGATTTATTAATTAATCATGAGTATATATTTCTTAAATGTATAAGAAGATATACTTGGACTATGCATGTGACTAACTAGAGTAATCTAGTAAATGTAATATATAAAAAGATATGTGACATTGTGATTAGCCATATTAATTTTGGTTTATGGAAATATGACATAATTAATGATTAATTAATTAATGGTATGAATAAAAGGTTTAAGAGAGGATCATGAGTCATGCTAAGGGATTAAGCATGAGATCAATCAAAAGAGGCAGAATGATATTACATTGAATGATCAAATGCATCTAAGAATGTATTGTGACAAGATTACTTATTAATAGTATTAATAAGTATACTTAATATGCTTTAATTTGGACAGAAAATGATTATAAATTATGTGTGATGATTTGGACGTCTAAAATGATATTTTTGGACTAAGAATGACTTGTTGCATAAGTGTATAAAATTTCGTGAAAATCGGACCCCGTTTGGATGGTCAAACGGGCGTTGACCAAAATGTTGACCGGTTGCCCAAGGGATAACCGGCGCCGGTTATAGGCAAAACCGGCGCCGGTTATGGTTCGGTTTACTACAAAAAATCAGTAAACCGGCGCCGGTTATGGGTAAAACCGGCGCCGGTTATGTCTCGGCTTTCAGGACTGATTTTTGCTAAAAACCCAAATCGGACCCGGTTCGACGTGGGATTAATTCTGGCCAACCTATATATGAATATTTTGCATGGAATTGCATGAAATATGATGTTTAAAATGATAAGGCTTGGAATACGTTTTAAACGCTAAGACTTGGACTAGTCGTTAGTAAAGAAATTATAGACCACGACCGGGCGAGGTTCGTGGTAGATTATACATGGCGGGTGAATACCCGGGACTAAGTAAGGTTATATAATACTCTGTAGGACCAGGAGGAGTCCTCTACACTCAAACGTTAACAAGGGCCCGTGTAGTCCTTGAGGTGTGTTAACCTCCAGCAAATTACACATAGGTAACAAGGGCAAATGCAGTCCTTGAGGTGTGGTATCCTCCATCAAATTGCATATAGGTAACAAGGGCTCGTGTAGTCCTTGAGGTGTGTTAACCTCCAGCAAATTACACATAGGTAACAAGGGCACATGCAGTCCTTGAGGTGTGTTAACCTCCATCAAATTGCATATAGGTAACAAGGGCCCGTGTAGTCCTTGAGGTGTGTTAACCTCCAGCAAATTACACATAGGTAACAAGGGCAAGTGCAGCCCTTGAGGTGTGTTAACCTCCATCAAATTGCATATAGTAACAAGGGCCCGTGTAGTCCTTGAGGTGTGTTAACCTCCAGCAAATTACACATAGGATGAGGGTGTATGCGTACTCCTCAAGGCGGGGTTAGCCCCAGGAATGTAAACTATGATCGTAAGGACGGATAGACCTCAAGGTAGATGAACCTCAAGGTAATGATTTTAAATGATTAAACGTGCTTGATCGGGAACGAGTTTCCGATAGGATATTTTCCTTGGTCTAGGAATTGATTTAAACCATGTCCGTGATATGGGAGTCCGAAGGGCCCCCACAGCAATTATATTTTGATATCGGGTGAGTTAGCCTGCGGGTGACTCCACTCGAGGGTAAGACATGGGAAGGGTGAATTTAATGAGGCTGTTACGCCTAAATGATTTGAAAGACAAATGGGCCCACGGGCCAGATATTTTACTCATATGTATATATGTATACATTTTGTTTTGAAAAGGGGTAGCTAAGAGTTATGCCCATAATTATACTATCACCCTATTTTGAGGGTCTCACGTGAGAAACGTTAGTTACATTACATACAGTTTGCCCTCACCAGTACTTTTCTGTAGTACTGATCCCTCGGGGGAACCACCCTTTCAGGTTGAAGCTAGAGCTTACTTCCTGCACCCGTTGCTCGGGAGATCGATGGAGAGAAGACGTGGTTCGTGCTTCCTCTCGTTCTATTTTTAAATAATTAAATAATGCTCATGGAACTATTTTCACTTATAAATTAATGGAGCCTGCGAGCTCTTGTTTTACCCTTGTGTGGGTTCTTACTAAACACTTATATTCCGCTATGTGTTTGATTGTATGTTGATGTTGTTATGTATGTTTACTAATCGGTTTTGGCATATGTATCTTTCGGACGTCTTGTATAATTCGGTAAGGATGAACTGCGGTTATTCTTATTGGGTTGTACGACGGTTGTCCACGTGGCACAGACGCGGTCTGGGGCGTGACAATTAAGTGGTATCAGAGCCAAACGATTTATAAACTATATAGTCAACCTCTCAACAGAGTTTCTATCAAAACAGTTTTCAATGAAAAACCATGAGCATAAGTTTTGTACTTTAAGAGCATTTGGTTATCGAGTTGCAAGGTCTCTAGTTGTTAAGATGGGCCCCTTAACAATTGGTATGGCAGTGACTTGAGCCAAGTTGTGTCTTGAGTACGTTTCTGTCAATTGACATTCAAACGAGTCCAACGACTCATTCCAATATATTCTTTCAGGAATGGGTGGTAGTGATAGGGCGGTTCGAGGAAATCCGAGAGGGCGCGCACCGGGGATAGCCGGGCAAACCAACCGGGGAATACCACGATTGCCAAAAAGGCGAGGTGGGGGCCACCAGGGCCAACGAACACGAGCCGCAATTGCTGATTGCAATGTGTTCGAATTCGAGTCGTGGAACTCAGAGGATGACTCAACTTATCATCCTGAAAGTGAGTCTGAAGAAACTTCTTTTGAAGAAAACGATGGAGAGGATATGCACAGTATTCCTCCTGATCAGATTAGTGAGATGTACCGATGGTACCAGCGGGAAAGGGAAAGGCAACGACAAAGATCCCAGGTGGGACATGTCAGAGACGACACCTCTCGCAGGAGGGGTCGGGGTGCTCATAGAGCACAGGTTAAGACAATCAGAGATTCTGATGGTGAAGGACCATTCATTAAGATCTCAAAGTACCTCAAAGAGGCTAGGGCCTTGGGGTGCAAACCGTTTGATGGGACGGGGGATATCTCGGAAGCGGCCGAGTGGATAAAAAGGTTAAATGATGCAGCCGATGACATGCAAGTGGTCCCTGATCGGAAGTTAAGGGTAGCCACTAGATTGTTGGAAGGTTTAGCTTCTACTTGGTGGGAAGGCATCAAGGGTAAGTTTGACGGGGTTGTCACGTGGGACAATTTCGAGCAATCATTTTATGAACAGTTTTATACCTCTTTCGAAGTTAATCGAAAGAGGAGGGAATATACAAATCTCAAACAGGGCAATGAGTTTACGGTGAAGCAATTGGAACAAAGATTCCGACATTTGGCAAGGTTCTTGCCTGAATATGCCGCCAATGAGGATCGAATGGCGAACCATTTTTGGAATGCACTGAATTTGGAGGTACGCGAAAGGGCGACCTATCAATTCAACATGACTTTTAGTCAAGTAGTAGCCCAGGGTCTCCAGGGGGAGGAGCTTTGGGAGGAAAGGCAAGCAATGGGTGCTAAGGAAGCACAAGAAAGGGATCAGATGATCAACCTTCCTCTGCGACGAGAGAGGAAGTATGACTTTCAAAGCGAGGGGGACTCTAGCAAGTTAGTTCCATTTTCAAAAGGGAGCAAGAACTGGGTAAGTCAAAGCTCAAGCACTCGGGGCACGGGAGCGCCCAAATGTGAGAATTGTAGGCGGAGGCACCACGGGATATGTCTAGAACCATCTAGATGCTACTTTTGTGGAGAAACGGGTCACATAAAGGCTCATTGTCCTCAACGTGTACGGGAAGGAGCCTTGGGGGCCCACAGGGGAGTCACGGAGGTTGCAAACCCAATAGGGATTGCTTCAAATGTTTTACTATCCACCAATCGGTGGAAATTAAAACTCGCTCGTGATGGCGAAGAATGATGGAGGCCATTTGTGAGAATCGCTATGGCATAAGGTAATTTTTATTTAAACCTTACATTTAATAAAAATATTATGATGTTGAAAATGGTTAGCTTCAATTAATGAAGGGAGAAGTATTTCTCAAGGTTAAGACGTAAATTTCGGGGACGAAATTCCTGTAAGGGGGGGTGAACTTGTAACACCGGACCCGAATTTTACCCAGATAAAAATTTTTCGTAAAGTACTGGGTTAAAGAAGGTAAATCAAGACTAAGAGTAGTCTTGATAAATGAGAAAGTAAAATTTTGTCTTAAATTAATAAAAGGTTATTAATTTAGACGTGGAACCACTCGTGATGATATTCTAAGTTTATTTATAAAATATTAATGTTTACCAAAATGATACTATTATGATAGTAGGGATGGGTCATGGACCCTAATGATATAAAGAACGACAACTAGACGGTCAAGCGGGCCGAGGTCACTATCCGATAATTGTGAATCATTAACTATCGGACTGATAATAATTCGGAAGGCTACGAATTAATAACAGAAGGAATATAAATATTTTAAGAACCCAAAATAATGAGATGATTAATATTGATTAATATGGTATATTAAGGAGGGTACTTTTGGATGACCCTACCTTGAAGATATTTGTATAAGGACAAACAGATAAGATTTTATCTGTTCATACATATCAGACCACTTAAAAAAGAAGTGTAACATTTTATTAAAGTGTCACAAAATATGAAACAACATATTTAGTCATGAGAAATGATGAATGAATTTTCGAGGAAACACGTTCTCATTTTTACTGTTACTTGAACAGTAAAATGCACGTTGGGCCCACACATGGGCGGAGACCATCCGATATTTACGGACCACATATTATGTTCATCTTGGTCTAGGTAATATTTATATGAGGGTGTAAATAAATTTTAAGCCATAAAGTCGGCCTTTCGATCAAACGAGATCCCATTACTGGTATAGGTAATTAAACAGATAACAGCCGAAATTAATTTCAGCGACCACGAAATTACAGTGGGATAATATATATTCATTCTAGAGGCCAATATTAATTGGAAGAATGATATATATTTTATTTGACAAGATAAAATGAAATTTAATTAAAACAGTCCGAAAAATACAACTTTCGGGGCCGAATGTACACCTCGGGACATATTGGGATGACCTCCCACATGAGTGGGGGCCACCCCACGACTTTTTGCATCCAATTGAGATGGTGTGGGCTTCATACATTGAATCAAGTTGAGAGTTGGGTGAGAAGGGACATAAGGTGGGCTCTCCCTCTCACCATTATCACACCTTTGAGACAAAATATCCCCTCAACCATCACCCTCCCACATTATTTCGACCAAGACACCAAAATAAGTGAGAAGAGGTCTGCAACTTCTCATCTCCATGTCCAAAAACCGAGCTCAAGGTTGAAGGAGGCTCAAGGAAGAAGAAAAGCTTGGAAAAGAAGAGAAAAACTTAGAAAAATCAAGGTAATGACTTCATTAGTATTTTTCTCCTTCATTTTAATCTCATATGATTTTGTAAATCATATGATGGACCCTTAAGTTCGTTCTACACTTCTAGAGGTGTAGCATGCGGGGTTGGAAGGTTAGTTTTGACCATGAACGGAGTTATGACCGGAGTAAGACCGGTTCACCGGAAAATAACCTTTTAGAGGTTATTTGTGTTGATATAGATTTTGTGATGTTAAAACCTTGTTAGGAACTTGTCAAAGGTGTTCCTATAGCTTCCACGGAGTTGGAAGAGTCGCCGGAGTTTTCGCCGGAAAATTCAAAGGTCGCCGGAGTTCAAACAAAGAGGATAAAAGCTTGTTAGCGTCATTTCAAGGTGAGTGGACGACTACGTGTCTTGTAACTCTTGGTTCAAACGTGAGATTACCTAAATAAAATCATAACCATGATTTGAGGAATGATTAAATGTATTAAAATGCATGATTAGTCATGGTGAACATGATTAATGAAAAATAGATTAATTTATTAATTAATCATGAGTATATTTTTCTTAAATGAATAAGAAGGTATACTTGGACTATGTATGAGACTAACTAGAGTAATCTAGTGAATGAATACATGAAAATATATGTGAACTTGTGATTATCCATATTAAATATGGATTATGGAAGTATTATATGATTAATGAAAATTAGATTGATTTATTAATTAATCATGAGTATATATTTCTTAAATGTATAAGAAGATATACTTGGACTATGCATGTGACTAACTAGAGTAATCTAGTAAATGTAATATATAAAAAGATATGTGACATTGTGATTAGCCATATTAATTTTGGTTTATGGAAATATGACATAATTAATGATTAATTAATTAATGGTATGAATAAAAGGTTTAAGAGAGGATCATGAGTCATGCTAAGGGATTAAGCATGAGATCAATCAAAAGAGGCAGAATGATATTACATTGAATGATCAAATGCATCTAAGAATGTATTGTGACAAGATTACTTATTAATAGTATTAATAAGTATACTTAATATGCTTTAATTTGGACAGAAAATGATTATAAATTATGTGTGATGATTTGGACGTCTAAAATGATATTTTTGGACTAAGAATGACTTGTTGCATAAGTGTATAAAATTTCGTGAAAATCGGACCCCGTTTGGATGGTCAAACGGGCGTTGACCAAAATGTTGACCGGTTGCCCAAGGGATAACCGGCGCCGGTTATAGGCAAAACCGGCGCCGGTTATGGTTCGGTTTACTACAAAAAATCAGTAAACCGGCGCCGGTTATGGGTAAAACCGGCGCCGGTTATGTCTCGGCTTTCAGGACTGATTTTTGCTAAAAACCCAAATCGGACCCGGTTCGACGTGGGATTAATTCTGGCCAACCTATATATGAATATTTTGCATGGAATTGCATGAAATATGATGTTTAAAATGATAAGGCTTGGAATACGTTTTAAACGCTAAGACTTGGACTAGTCGTTAGTAAAGAAATTATAGACCACGACCGGGCGAGGTTCGTGGTAGATTATACATGGCAGGTGAATACCCGGGACTAAGTAAGGTTATATAATACTCTGTAGGACCAGGAGGAGTCCTCTACACTCAAACGTTAACAAGGGCCCGTGTAGTCCTTGAGGTGTGTTAACCTCCAGCAAATTACACATAGGTAACAAGGGCAAATGCAGTCCTTGAGGTGTGGTATCCTCCATCAAATTGCATATAGGTAACAAGGGCTCGTGTAGTCCTTGAGGTGTGTTAACCTCCAGCAAATTACACATAGGTAACAAGGGCACATGCAGTCCTTGAGGTGTGTTAACCTCCATCAAATTGCATATAGGTAACAAGGGCCCGTGTAGTCCTTGAGGTGTGTTAACCTCCAGCAAATTACACATAGGTAACAAGGGCAAGTGCAGCCCTTGAGGTGTGTTAACCTCCATCAAATTGCATATAGTAACAAGGGCCCGTGTAGTCCTTGAGGTGTGTTAACCTCCAGCAAATTACACATAGGATGAGGGTGTATGCGTACTCCTCAAGGCGGGGTTAGCCCCAGGAATGTAAACTATGATCGTAAGGACGGATAGACCTCAAGGTAGATGAACCTCAAGGTAATGATTTTAAATGATTAAACGTGCTTGATCGGGAACGAGTTTCCGATAGGATATTTTCCTTGGTCTAGGAATTGATTTAAACCATGTCCGTGATATGGGAGTCCGAAGGGCCCCCACAGCAATTATATTTTGATATCGGGTGAGTTAGCCTGCGGGTGACTCCACTCGAGGGTAAGACATGGGAAGGGTGAATTTAATGAGGCTGTTACGCCTAAATGATTTGAAAGACAAATGGGCCCACGGGCCAGATATTTTACTCATATGTATATATGTATACATTTTGTTTTGAAAAGGGGTAGCTAAGAGTTATGCCCATAATTATACTATCACCCTATTTTGAGGGTCTCACGTGAGAAACGTTAGTTACATTACATACAGTTTGCCCTCACCAGTACTTTTCTGTAGTACTGATCCCTCGGGGGAACCACCCTTTCAGGTTGAAGCTAGAGCTTACTTCCTGCACCCGTTGCTCGGGAGATCGATGGAGAGAAGACGTGGTTCGTGCTTCCTCTCGTTCTATTTTTAAATAATTAAATAATGCTCATGGAACTATTTTCACTTATAAATTAATGGAGCCTGCGAGCTCTTGTTTTACCCTTGTGTGGGTTCTTACTAAACACTTATATTCCGCTATGTGTTTGATTGTATGTTGATGTTGTTATGTATGTTTACTAATCGGTTTTGGCATATGTATCTTTCGGACGTCTTGTATAATTCGGTAAGGATGAACTGCGGTTATTCTTATTGGGTTGTACGACGGTTGTCCACGTGGCACAGACGCGGTCTGGGGCGTGACAGAAGGGAGTTCGTGAAGAAGGAGGTAGCCATGCTCCTCTCCATCAAACATATCAAGGAGGTGAAATACCCCTCTTGGTTAGCAAATGTAGTCCTTGCACAGAAGCCTCCTACCTTCCGCATGTGCGTGGACTACACTGATCTGAATAAGGCGTGCCCTATGGACCCCTTCCCTCTGCCAAACATTGATCAACTGGTGGATGAGACCGCGGGATGCGAAATCATGTCCTTCCTCGACGCATTCCGCGGGTATCATCAAATCTATATGCATGAAGAAGACGCTGAAAAAACTGCCTTCATGACACCCGAAGGCATCTTCTGCTACCTCGTGATGGCCTTCGGCCTCAAGAATTCAGGCGCCACCTACACCCGAATGGTGGCCAGGGTCTTTCAAGCTGTCTTGGGGCGCACTATGGAGGCCTATGTTGACGATATGATTGTCAAGAGCAAGAAGGCCGGCACTCACGCCGAGGACCTCCGGGAAATCTTCGCCATCATGCAAAAATTCAACCTCCGATTGAATCCAAAGAAATGCACCTTCGGCGTACAAGGTGGAAAGTTCTTGGGCTATATGGTAAGCCGAAGGGGTATCGAGGCCAACCCCGAGAAAATTCAGGCCATCATCAATATGGAGCCTCCGCGCAACGTCAAAGAAGTTCAACGGTTGACGGGTCGCCTGGCGGCCCTCAACCGATTCCTCTCTAAGTCAGCCGAGAGGGCCCTCCCATTCTTCCAAATCATGAGGAAGACAGCTGGCTTCCAATGGACATCTGAGTGCCAAGAGGCCTTCGACGAACTTAAGAAGTACCTCTCTTCTCCCCCGGTGCTCTCCAAACCGAAGGTGGGGGAGACCTTATACTTGTATCTCGGTGTTAGCCCTGCGGCAATCAGCTCAGTACTAATCCGAGAGGAAGATGGCGTCCAACACGCCATCTTCTACGTCAGCAAAACCCTCCGGGAGGCCGAACTCAGGTATTCTCCCGTCGAGAAGACGGTGCTAGCCATCGTTTGGACCGTCAAGAAGCTTGGCCACTACTTTCAAGCTCATCCGGTCCAAGTGCTCACTCATCAACCCCTCGGCGCCCTCATGAGGAGTCCCACTAGCTCCTCTCGGATGGTGAAATGGGCCATCTTCCTCAGCCAATACAACATAGATATCCGTCCGAGGCCTGCCATCAAGGGCCAAGCCCTGGCAGACTTCGTAACGGAGTGCACCGCAAGATCAGCGGTGGATGAGGAGCCTTCGGCACCCCTCGATGAGTGGTGGACCCTCTATACCGATGGCTCCTCGGCTACCAAAGCATGCGGAGGGGGAGTAGTTCTCATCACACCCGAGGGCTTCCGCGCCTATTACGCCATCCGATTCTCCTTCAAAGTCTCCAACAACGAAGCCGAATATGAGGCCCTGCTCTGTGGCCTTCGGCTGGCCGCAAATCTGAAGGCCAAACAAATCCACGTCAAGTGCGACTCCAAGCTAGTCGTAGGCCAACTCTCCGGCGAATATGAGGCCAAGGAAGGAAGGATGAAGCAATACAAGGAAGCAGCCAAAGAATTGTTTAAGGTATTTGAGGCACATTCCCTCACCCAGATACCGAGGGCTCAAAACTCTGAGGCCGACATTCTATCCAAGCTCTCGGATGAATCCCCCGAGCACCTTTCCAAAATTGCGAGAATTGAGGAACTCAGCCTCTCAAGCATCCACGCGAGCCCCGTCATGGACATCCAGCTAAGGCCGGAGGACTGGATCTCTGACATCATCGCCTTCATCACCACAGGGCAACTGCCCCAAGACGAAGCCCGCGCCAAGTTAGCAAAGCTGAGGGCTCCCAGCTACACCATCGAAAACGGGAGGCTTTACAAGAGATCTTACAACGGCACCCTCCTTCGGTGCCTTCATCAAGATGAGGCCGAAATCGCCATGGAGGAAGTGCACAGTGGCACTTGCTCAGCTCACCAGGGACCTTTCTCCATGTCCCGAAGGCTCATAGTTCAAGGCTACTTCTGGCCCACGATGGCTAGAGATTGTGCTGATCTAGCCCGAAGGTGCACCGCTTGCCAACACTTTCAGAAGGCCCCCGGCAGACCAGCGGTTAACTATGCCCCCATCAGCACCGCTATACCCTTCTCCAGGTGGGGGATTGACTTAGTAGGCCCTCTGCCGAGGGGTACCTCCAACAACAGGTACATCATTGTGGCCATCGACTACTTCACCAAATGGGTAGAGGCCGAGCCCCTCGCCAGCATTACCGAGGCCCGGTGCCGCCACTTTGTCCTCAAAAATATTCTCACAAGGTTTGGCGTCCCCCAACAAATCATCTCCGACAACGGGACTCAGTTCGAGGCAGCCCCCTTCTGTGCCCTCCTTGAAGCTTGGGGCATCAAGCACACATTCTCTTCCGTTGCCTACCCTCAGGGCAACGGGCAAGTGGAGAACGCCAACCGAACCCTACTTGAAGGATTGAAGAAAAAGCTGGAAGCCGAAGGGGGAGGCTGGGTAGAAGAACTTCACAACATCTTATGGGCCTACCGTACCACCCCTCGGCGTGCAACAGGCGAAACACCCTTCTCCCTATGCTATGGCTTTGAGGCTAAGGCTCCAACAGAAGTGACCCTTCCTACCCGAAGGGTGGAACAGTATGAGCCCGAGGTCAACGACACCAACATGGCCCTCGACCTTCATCTCATCTCAGAACGCCGAGAGCAAGCTTTTCTCAGGGCCGAAAACTATAGGAGACAAATCAAAGGATACGTCGACGCCAAGGTCCGCTCCCGGGAATTCCAGGTGGGAGACTACGTCCTCCGACGAAGGGAGGCCAGTCTACCCACCGAAGGAGGAAAGATGGCGCCCAAGTTTGAAGGCCCCTACATCATCTCAGCCATCATCAAACCAGGGACATACACGCTTAAACGCCCCAATGGGACGGAGGTCCCTAGACATTGGAATGTGCATCACCTTGTCAAATTCTATCAATAAGGCATGAGCGGCCAAGCCCTCATCCTCAGCAAGTGTAAATATCAAAGGCCCAAGGCCCCATCTGTTTTTGAAGAATAATCAAAAGGCCAAGCCTTCATCACCTACATATTGTACAAGCGGCCCAAGGCCCCCTTCTCTCCTACACATGAGTGGCCAAGCCCTCATCTTTCCAGCTGAAAAGGCCCAAGGCCTCCCCCTCTGAGGGGGAACAACAATCAAGGTACCAAGTACCGAGTGTATGGGTCACCCCCATCACCCTTCGAAAACACCAAAGTGTTTTCTCACCAAGCCGTACCCCACGAGGACGCAATCATGCATACACTATGCATACTTTTACATGCCCTCCTAAAAAAAAAAAAAAAAAAAAAAAAAAAAAAAAAAAAAAACCGGGGGGTACAAAGTGCCCCCGGCTATTTGTGTCCCACACACGAATAAAACCCTTCCCAGGAACGCTTTCCGCGCCATCCCCCAAGGGGAGGCAGGCAACGGACCATGTCCCGGGGCCCAGGATTCGACTTCCACAAACGAAACGCTCCCCGCGCTATCCCCCAAGGGGAAGCAGGCAACAGACCATGTCTCGGGCTGAGGGGACGACTTTCAAAACCGAGGCGCTTTCCGTGCTATCTCCCAAGGGGAAGCAGGCAACAGACGATGTCTCGGGCCGAGGAAACGACCCTCAAACCCTTCGGGATATCGGAAGGTCATTCCCGAAGGGGGAGCCAGCGGTTTGTTCCGTTGCCTCCCATATAGGCCAAGCCTTCCCTAGAAACCAAGTTTCTAGACGCCTCCCCTACACCATCTAAAAAAAAAAAAAAAAAAAAAAAAAAAAAAAAAAAAAAGAAGAGATGTGTAGGGGGGAAGGAACTCCCCGGATACTATTCTCCCCGGAGGCTCAACACATCGGATATACATTGCCGAAGGCTGCTACAAATGCACAAAAGAATCTATCAACATCGAATCATCTGGCTACATAGCCGAAGGCTTCACTACATGAAGCCTTGGAGTACAAGAGTTCCACCGGAGGCCTAAGAAGAACAAAACTTCACCTAGGTCAGAACTCGATTGGATCAAAGTCAACCATATGACACGCCGAAGGCAACACAAAGCTCTGAGGCAAGCTAAATCTATTATCTACACGAGCCAGAGAATTCGTACCGAAGGCAGAATGTCACCGGTCTCGTACCCCTCGGCAACCATATACACCGGGGGCTCAGGCAATACTCACACTCGACGGATTCACCACAGTATCTATTGAAACTTCGTGGAAAAATGACTAAGTCCACGAATGGGGACCCTTCGGGAGGGCAACTCTTCACCTACAGACTCATCACTACACTACTAAATGAAAGCTTCCAATTCATTCTATCCCTCGGCATCACTACTACGAACATCCGAAGGGGGTCGGTCCTACACTACGACCGGAGGCTCGCGACAAAAGTTCTTACTTAGAAAATTTTCTAAGTCCACAATCACAAACCCCCCGATGATTCTACCCTACATCCGAAGGGTTCTGATCATGTTTACTTGGAAAATTTGGTGGTTCCACAACAACAAGCCCCCGGAGATTCTACACTATTACCGAAGGCTAACAAGGAGTTACACTTAGAAAAATTTTTTCTAAGTCCACAAACTCGGGCCTTCCGGGAAAACATGCATTCATCCAAGTAAAGAAAGGCATACATTCACGAAGGAAAGAACGAGGGCAGAAATAATTAAAAAAAAAATAGGGCACATCATTCATACAAGAAGCCCGAAGGCATGACATGTTCATAAGAAAGATTGCTACAAAACAAGTGTTTGTTTACAATACAATTAGCCAATTGAGGTAATTTCTAAGCATGGGGTTCTTCGGTTGCATCTCCTCTCGGTTTGGAGACAGCGTCTTCTCCGGCCTCTTCATCA